AGGCAATTTTTGTCCTACAGTTTTTTCATGCATTTTTTTAACATTTCCCTACATTTTTAAGATTAGTTTTTAAAAAGTTGTGGGTTTCTAAAGATTTTGGCCAGATTCCAGCAGATCCATATAGAAACCGCTAACTTTGAGATTTTTACAAACAAATTAAAAAATACTTCAGTGTCAAAAGTGGCCTATTTTCTTAAAAAAAGAGACGAAGCACCTTATAATAAATTAAAAAATAAAATGTGGAGTGAAACAAAAAAATTCTGCATACAGGTAGGTTCTAGAATAATTAAAATTGTTTATCATCTAGTATTTTCGATTTTTCAGTTTTTCGAGTTGTCGATATTTCAATATCTCGATTTTCCGAGTTTATGAATTTTCAGTTTCTCAATTTCGTTTAAATTTTTCTCATTTTTCTAATATTTCAGTTTCTTACATAGCCATCTTTTCACAACAAGAAACTTAGAACATGGTTAAAATGGTACATTTTTGCAAGGAAATATGGATTTTGAAATTATGGGGTGGAGCCTAATTGCAAAATCGATATTTCCTGATACAAATTTTTCATTTTAAACATATTTTAAGTTTCATGTTGTGAAAAGAAATCTACACATATTAAAAACAAAAGGGCAAAATTAAGCCCCCTCACCCACCCTGTCTCAATTGTGATCATTTTTTTATTCGTCGTTAACCAAAGGGGCGGAGCCTAATTGCAAAATACTTATTTCTTTTCAAGAAATTAAAAACAAGTTTTTGAGTATCGTGTTGTTCAATGAATACCATGTACATTAAGAAAAAAAGGCAAAATATAAAACCCGGCCACCCACCCCATCTCAGTTGTGATGATTTTTTTTATTCTGAGATACTTAAAACACGTTTAAAGTGGTAAATTTTTGTAAGAAAACATGGATTTTGCAATTAGGCTCCGCGCTTAGGTTTAGTAACAAATGAAAACTTTATTACTATTTAGATCAGGGCAGGTGTGGGTGGGGCTTAATCTTTGGTTTTAATTTTTTCTTAATATACATGGTATTTTTTGAATAACACGATAACTAAAAACATGTCTTACATGGTAATTTCTTGTAGAGAAATAATAAGAATTTTGCAATTAAATTTCGCTCCTTTGGCTCTCGACGATTAAAAAAAAATAATCACAATCGAGATAGGGCGGGTGGGCGGGGCTTATATTTTGTCTCTTTTCTTAATATACGTAGTCGCCTTTTTAAAATAAGAAACTTAAAACATGTTTAAAATGGTGAACTCTTTTTGACAAGCCCCGCCCCTTGGTCTGACAACGAATGAAAAATTCATGACGATTGAGAACGAGACGGATGGGTGGAGCTTCTCTTTTTTAATTAATACATTTAGTTTTCTTTGTATAACACGAATACTTAAGAACATATTTCACATGGTAATTTTTTCACAACAAGAACTTAGAACATGGTTAAAATGGTACATTTTTGCAAGGAAATATGGAATTCCTAATCATGGGGCGGCGCCTAATTGCAAAATTGATATTTCCTTACACAAATTTACCACTTTCAACATGCTTTAAGTTTCATGTTGTGAAAAGAAGTCTACAAATATTAAAGCAAAAAGGCAAAATGTAAAAAATGTTTTACTCACTACTAATTAACCCCTGTATCATATTCCTACACTTGTGATTCATGAATCCGTGTTGAGTTTTACACTACTTAGCATCTGATTTTAAAAAAATAAGTTAACATTGTATAACAATATTTTACAATTTAACTTTTAAATTGCAAAAATCGAATGCTGTGAAATCATATAAATACATATTTTACGATCATTTGAAACATGTAAATCGTTAATCAATATTTATCCGTCATTTTACAATTTTGCCGAATTTCTTCAAACTTATGAGCTTTTTTGGGAAAAACTGACTATGAACTAGTAATAATAATCAATTAATACTTTCCTCTGCGTTGAGGACTCAAAATTAACCATATTTCATTTTCTTTTAACCGCTGATTCTTGTAACCTGCAGGGGCTAATAGTCGAATTCGGTGGAAGTATAAACATAAACGAAGTTAAGGATATACTGAGATATACAGGGGTTGCGGGGATGTTAATTATGCCACTTTATAGAGATTAACAGTTATCACAAAGCAAAAATAGCAAAATTTAATTTTATAATTTTTTAAAGAAACGGAATTTGTCGGACTACAATTCAAGGACGAGGGAAGTTCTGTCAAAAATAAGCATCCACAATTTTTTTACTAGCTTTGTTGTTCTTGGTAGCGTTATCAAAATTCCAAAAACAACATCATTTTTTCAAAACGCTTATGTCGCCGGCAAAACTGAAAATAATAACAACAATAATAAACCCAAACAACATCTGTGTACAATACCATAGGAGCCCACTTTGTAAATTTTCCGGTGTTCTCAATCCGACACTGTTCATGGAATAGTCAAAGTTTTACACATTTCAAATTAGAAAATCGTTAATTAACTGGTCTTACACTAATTACGCTCGTTGGGGGGAATCACAAACTAAATTTGAGGTAATACCTGTTCTTTGTTCCAACCCCATGCCCAAAACCAAAAATTACATTCGTCTACAAACGCATGGTTGCTTACGTTATTAAATGATTTTTCTTCGTTTTAATTTTTCAAATGTGGTTTAGGGGCGTTGTTTTTTTTTCTCAGTGCAAAATTTAAATTCACAATTGTAACAAACAGTTGATGAGTATTTTCCAATAAGAGAAAATTAAATTTGGGGATTTGCTATTGTGTGTCCAATATTGGTACATTACTTAATTATGGTAAAAGAAATGGAAATGGGATCGGACCCGCTTAAATTCACATGATAAACAAGTATTATAAATTCGCTATTATTTAAAACTATTTGATTACGCAATTCCGCTAGAATGTGGATTAAAAAAAATGCCGACAGATCGCTTATTAAACATGAATTACAAAATTAAATTAAAAAAAAAAAAGATCGTAACAACTTTTTGTATACATGACATCAATCGAATAAAATAAAAGATCAAAACTCTTGGAAAACAAGTTTATTTTAACTGTGGGAAGGTGTTGATTGAATGTAGCTAGAGAGCCGCTGTCTTTACAAATATTTATTGTATTAAAGTTGATATCTGATGTAAAAATCATGCAGCTGTTACAATAAACCCTAATGTTGATGGAACTAACCACAGAACCGCCAAGTCTCCGATAAACTTGGAACACAATAATATGGAATTGCAAAGTTCATTTAACTTTAGTAATGCCACACATTTTGATAAACGATCTTTAAGAAAGACGCCACAAAATCTAGAGGATATTATCTATAAATGAAGGAGTGTAATTACAGAAGTATTAATTAAAATTATATTAGTGCTTGAGGAAATTTTACCGAAAGCTAATGTTACGTCTTTTAGTATCAAAGGAAGTTAATTATTATACTGATAAACTGAAAGGATTATGTTAGTTTTGTTAAATGCTTGCTCGTATGCATGTAACAGTTTATTGGTATTCGATTTTGAGTTAAGCAGCTCCGTAATGGAAAGTACATACGTTTATAATGTTATGTTAAATAATAATATAAAAACTAAAGTAATTTATATTAGTAGGTGGTACTTATGTACCATACATTTGCTTCCAGTCTATTAATACTGCACTGTCAAGAACACATGCAAAGTCAGAATGATTTGTTGTAGGACATTTGTTTAATAAATTTAAAATAATCACACAGGATTACACTATCTCACGAACTTTGGTTTTGATTGTTGTGTTTATTTAACATTTGTTAAATGTCCCTTTTCAAACATACATTTATATATAGTACCACAGTGATTGAATAAGTTACTAATATTTTATTAGATACGTTTTAAAAAATTTATCTTACACAGGGACAAATTGATAACTTTTAACCTTCGTGCTTCGTACTCGTGTATGTTGCAACGTTTTCTAGACATCTATATTTATTACAATGACTTTGTCTGCATTACAAAAACGACTGCTATATCTTAACACACACATTTTTTTATTCGTACTCTTGTGACATACATAATTACGTCGTACTTAATGTCACCACAAATATATCACAGTTTGGTTTTTCTGTTTTTCTTCCTTAATTACGGAGACCACAAAATTCCCCCTAAAAAAGTACCCAACATCGACTAGAAACCACAAACCTTTTCTAGACGTCATTAAAAAACCATAGGGAAAAATACATATCCATCCCATGAAGGTAAATCTTGTTTACTACATAATTTTTAACATTTGTTTATCATTAACCTTAAATTTGGCATAGTACAATTAGTACGTAGGTGCGTAGATACAATATTTTTTATTTACTAAACATGTAAACTTTGCGAAATTGATTGATACATGAAATATTTATCAACCTTTGAAATTTTCGTGTAACTTCCAGGCTTTCACAGTTAGATTTATGACCCCTATTTATAAAATCATTATATTTGACCATGCTCCTCTTTCAATGTCAGCATTACACTTTAATTATGCGTAGGCCTGATATCTTTCACTCTTATCTAACAATTGTGCAAATAATTAACATTCGCGTCTGTAGTGATCTTGAATGTTCTAGATACATTGTTAATATTAATCCGATGAATTATTAAAATTCGTTACCTTTTGTAAAATTCTTTCAATGAAAGTGCAGATTAGTGTCCGTAACATTGTACCAAAATGTTTTGCCCTTGACTGTTCAAAAACGCTTGTCGTGTGCGAAATGTTCACGAACATTTCCTGCTAGTGTGTCAGAATCAGACGCAATCACGTAAATATATTGATCGCGAGCAAATGTAGGCCAATCGATCAACGAAGTGATCTAGATTTATTAAAATCTGTAATTGCAGACAGATCAAAGTTCGTTTTAGAGTTTAAATAAAAACAAAGTTTCGGAAGACAATAAACAATTTAGTCATCACAGGAGAAAATCAGGTCATAACAAAAGTACGAACAGTAGTAAAATATAGTTTATTTTATCACACAATAATCATTCATACACTTAAGAGAAAATGGCACTAATTTCTAAGAAATAAACGCGAGGGTCACTGGTACCCCGTCTGAAGATACGTTCTTGAGTTCTTGCTAGTGAACAAAAATGGTGCATGCGGCTTTGGACACTCGAAAGTTTCCATGACGTAATTAAGTTTCTTTTTGTTCTTGCGACCCACTGGTTCTAACAAGTTGTTCCAGAGCATATTTGCAGCTGAAAAAATGTTAATCATATACGAAAGCACAAGCAATTGTTAGTCGAAATGTTAGAGAGAATCGTTGCCGTTACTTGGCTGTTATTTTCTTTTGTTTTAAATTTTCACACCTTTCTTCTAGGAAGAATTATGCAAATATTTTATGTGTGCATTTGCTAGCCTGAATCATCAAACACTGAGTATCTTGAAAATGCATGTACTGTTTTTGTGCAAATAGTTGTTTTTTTTTAAATAACGGTCATTGTGAGTTTGACTAACAAAAAAATTAACAAGTGTGTGATTATGGCTATAACTTATGAGGATGAAGTTTATGACATGAGTGACAGGCGAGTGTGGTTACCACCCATATACGATACTATCGTTTGAAAAATTTTACCATAATTGCTGCGTACTTCAAGTACGCATTGTTCAATAAGAGTAAAAGAAGTTTATTTACATAATTTATGTATAATTGTTACCATATACGTAAGGTTGATGTGAATGACAGTCTAAATACAATTTTTTGTTCTTTAGTTGCTATTGGACGTCAAAAACCAACAAACAAGCATCTATTTCTAAAACTTGTTTATAACGTTATTAAATAATGTAAAGACAAATGATGATGCTGTCTATTATAATTTTTTTTTTCAGTTGTTGCGTTAATATACCATATTGACGCTATTTACATAATGATTAACGTCAATAATCGAAAAAGTAGCGATTGATCCACTCTTTGTTTATCTGACAAATGTTTATGCAATCAAAAGAGATTAATTAATTCTTAACACATCGTCTTGAAAAATCTTTTTTGGTTTTTCAACAGAGTTCGGTAAAAAACAGTCTGAAGAAAACCAACTCGCCTTGAAAATCTTTGGTTCTTGGAAAAGTTGTCTTCCTGTATTATTTGTTGACAATTAAAATTGCATTGAATTAAGAACATGCAACACTGTAATCAATTTTCATACACTGTAGTCAGTGTACTTTGGTAAAATTTTTGCAATTCTAGCTACTACTTCAGTGTTTACTGAAATAAGCTTATCAGACTTTCTTGTATTTTTTAAGATAATGTGATAAAATTTTTGGTTTCAGTAAAAGCAATAATCGTAGCGTAAATCTGTGTTCGCAGAATATCAAGGAAATTGTGCGACTCGTTTCTGATCAGATCATTCTCGTTAATACTCAGAGATTATTTCCCATACAAAAAAAAAGGATTGTTAAACCACAAAAAAGAGAGCAATTTAGATTTTATAATCTTCACAACACTCTTAAGGTACACTCAAAATTGCAAGAATAGCTGGTTAATTTTGGAGATTTTCTTTTCAATAACACAGTGACAAATAGACAACAGACAAACCGACGGAAATAGAAACCTTCATTTCAAAATAAAAGAAACATCTATCTGCACGTCTGTCAGTGGTATGTGGGTTTTTTGAACAAGGTTTCCTCGAAATTAATTATTATCGGATGGGTTGCTCTAAAATTTTAATTTATTTTAAATTTGTCACTATTATCATGAAGCAAAATTTATGGACTGATTGCTTCCAAAATGTATATAACTTATCTCTAAACTTTGTCACGTAAATGTTATCAGAAATATGTAACCCGGGACGCTTTTTATCTGTGGTTTAACTGACTGTCCATCTTTGTTTTCGGTTTTACGGTAGTTTTATTTATAATTATTTTAATGGTAGTTAAGTAAGCAATTAATTCATTTATTTTCTCCAAAAAGTTGGTCCAAAACTATTAAATAAAACGTTGTAGAAAAATACTACACACCAAAAATCTATGTGGGTTTTATTTATTTAGACTGATATCAAAATGTCGTGGTTTGAAATATATTACATATATTCTAACATTATTGACATGAAATGGTGCTGCAGCAATCATCAGTTCCTAAAATGGTTGCTTGTGGAGTCAAACTTTTACTATTGGATTTAATGAAGATTTTTTGTCTATATGAGTTCTAGGTCTGAGAGCCCAGAAAAAAAAAGTTGCTTTTCAAAATCGAGTTGATATTTTACATAGAATAACATTTTATTGAATTTTAGATTATACTTAATACAGGCTGCATATTTACTGGTTGCATACCCAAATCAATTTTTATGCTACTACTTACATTTTAAAATCCTTATTTTTATAATTGAATTGATTAATGTTTTACTTGTTTTAATTAAACCAAATCTTGTCGATTTAACATTTTTAATGTAATCGAACTTTTTTCCATATCTCTATCACTTTCAGCGTCGTCGACAAATGCATAAAACAAATTCTGACGAGATTTTTTTGCAGAGTATTCATTAAAGTCTTAAAATTTGAATAAGTTTCTAGAAAATATTATTCATTTTTACTTCTTGAGCGTAAAGCTAAGAACGTGTTGTAACAGAGTCCATTCTACTTCCATGTTTTCTTGACATTTCATGACCTCTAGTATAGGAAAAAATAGGTTTCCGGTTTCCGTCTGTTTATCTCCCCTCTGTCATCTAGCGTCTGTAGCCTCTCGTCTGTCTCTATCGTTTTTTATTAGACAGATAATCTTCGAAACTACCGGACCCATTGTTGTCAAATCTTACAAACGGACTAAAAAAAATGAACGAGGCAATTTATTTTATTTATCAAATCAAAAACGGCTCACTCCATTTTTCCGAAAATTTGAGTACTATTACTTTTATTATATTACACTACACCTATTCAAACTGATAATAATTATACGTGTCCTTGTTTTATTAGTAAAATATATTTATTCTGTTAAGTTTATATAACCAACGTATATTTCTTCCAAATTGCTTTAAAATTACTATTTTGTCGACAACACATATGGTAATAAAGAATTTACAAAACAAATGTCTCTTTAATAACATTATAACATTAATCGAACTATTTCCGGTTTCATAAGAAATATCAACTCCAACCACCTTTTGAAATGAATAACTAAATTTTTTCAGTACTTTTATTTGAAAGTTGTATAGCGACATGAAAACTGCCCTAGATTAGATAACAAATTTTGCGACTATCAGTATATACGAAATTTCAGTGCTATACACCGTTTTACTTACCAACACCACTGTCAAACTAGAAATCATTTTCTCGTCCAAAACTAGTAAATTTTTATATGTAACCTGATAAACATTTTGTGTTACTATATTTAAAAAATAATAGTCATATTAAAAATATGCAAAAAGGGACGAGCCCTATTTTAAAAGAAAGTTGTCTGTATTTGCAGACAACCGAAAGTGTTACAACCAACTTCAAAATTGGTAATTAAAGACCAGTTCTACTTGAACTTGTTATAATTGAATTAAAACTTGCTAAATGGTCAACTCTTGCAATATCAAAGACCCACAAGCCGGCCGAAAACAAAATAAAAATAAAATTCTTAATAAATGTTCAGAGAATTAAATTTGCATGTTGTTATGTGTGTTCATATTTATTAAGACTAATTAATTATCAGCTTTCATGGTTGCATATTTTCAACGTCGGTTTTATATATACACAACAGATCTTCATATTTTGCATATTTTGTCCACTCTTAGGATTTCCTCGAAATTCTAGGACTCAAAAAAAGTAAAATTTTGTTGCTATACATACCTAAAGCGTGACCTTTCTGAGAAAAATGAAAGCAGTCGTACGTTATGTATGAAATATCGATGACTTCGTCATACCTATGCGCTTCGTCTTGTGGTGCATTAAATAGTTTCATAAATGGTTGAAGAACGACTGTGAAATCGTCTTTTGTGTCATAACGACCACTAAAAATCTTAAGAGGGTATTATGCTTCTACAAGGACTATACAGTTTTCTACACTTACCAATTCTTCTTCAGCTCTTTGGTACAGCTGTGTCAACTTAGTTATGTCGTTCATTTCATTCCCTCCCCTGTGGAAACAAGCACAAAACAAAGTGTGCAAAAATCTACACATCATCGTACGTTTAATTCTTATACTAACAGAAACATCTAAAAAAAGAACAACAATCGAGGTGTTGAATTCCTATTAACCACTCACCTAACACTGGTATCAAATTTATAAACGCTCTTGGCATATTCGCCTGCAAGTAATCTAAAGCTACCATTAACTTTTTGTAGTGCATTTTAGGCGAAAAATCAGCACGGTTGTAGCACTGTCCAGAACAAATATCGTTTGCACCAAAGAATATCGTCACCATTTTCCAATCTTCTGCAAAATTAATCCTAGGATTTTTCTTCATTCTGTTAACTAAAACCTTCGCTTGCTTCAAAGCATCTGCGTCGGCAGAAACAGGAAAAGCCACATTGAGTTGTGAATTCGGCGACGAAAATTCACCAGTTCCGGTTGAGAAACCTTTCAAGTTAGGGTTGAACTCTTTGAGAATATTTGGCAGTGTTACGAACTCCCTCCAAGTACCTTGACCGCCTGAAGATAAGATTTGTAAAGTGATATCAATGAGAGGTTTGTTGGTAAACCTGCACACCAGGAAACTCCTCGATATTCGATCATGGTACCTAAAGCCCATTCTTCAAGAGCACCATTCCCGGCGATTAGGGAGTCACCCATTGCACCTACGACGTCTATGTCTCCGGGTCGCAGGCGGTGAACGCTTGTTGGTTTAACGAAAGATCTGCCAGTTCCGAAAGATGTACTGTTGGCACATGGGAACCTGAAGGAACTGGGGTAGATAAATTGTCTTCGAACGTTGCTGGTTTGACGTGGGTATCGAAAGAGAGTGTGTTCCCGGGACGCCTAAAATAAAAAAAAAATGGTATTTATACTTGTGATATAATAGATAACATAGAGCTGGTTTGTACATGTAGTAGATCTGACACAGACAGAACAAAAGAAGCTATTATCAGAGAGTTTTTGAGCGTAAGGAATATGAAGCGCTCTTCAAAATAGGTAGGTACTCAAACTAGTAAGTCTACTTATACTTATATTTAAGTATCGTGAGTATAAAAAATTGATCAAAGGTTATTTCCACAGAACTTCCCTCACCTTTGAAGTACAAATCTAGCTCCTTTGATAAAGTTTGACTTTTTGAAATTATATTTGTGGTAAGCTCTGTACATTAAAAAATATATAGATAGTAACTAGCTCATGTTACAAGGCCAAAGTCGCCGACTGTAGGGACTAAGTTATCAAGTATCCTTGTACGAGCTTCACTTGTATTAATATAGATGCTAAACAACTTCAGTTTTTTTGAGAAAATATTGATATATTGTGGAAAAGCTGAAGGCGGGTTCATAAGCCAAAACTACAGGAGTATGTTACTTTATAAAATCTAAATTTCATTTTCCATGAAAAATTTTGAGGGGACGTCATCACATTGTTGGTTAGACACATTTTGATTACTTTACGTTCGGGAGGTATAAAGAGAAACACACAATAGAACACAATGTTCTATATAAAATCTGTATAAACACACTTCTTCTAGTAGAATAAAGTCATATAACATTACCATCTAGCACACTACTAGTGTGTAAAATGAAGTATAACAATATTAAAGTGTTGATTTAGAAAACAGTTTTAAAATCGTCTAAAAACTGTGAAGGCAGAAATTTACAGTAGCTCAGACTTACTTATCCCTTAATGTTGTTACTATGTAGAGCCCATTTCCTTTCCTAAAAAATAACATTAGAAATATTTAAAATCGCAAAAATGAATTGACTTTTTATAGAATTTAACATTATATCTTAATTAAAGATATGCCAGAAACTAAATTACTAAATCAAAACTGTGAAATTTCCAAACAACGAAACGGTGCCCTCTTTCCGTCTGTCTGTCTGTCCGCCATCTGTCGTCCGTCCGCCATCGATATCGATTTTTATTAGACTGATAATCTCCAAAACTACTGGACTGATTGATTGTTGCTGAATTATATATATGTTAATGATAACTTTCGACCTCAAATTCTCTCACGTATATATACTTTTGGGCTCAAATTGGAAGTTTCGGCCTCGCCGTAGCTTTTGAGGCCGAAGTGACTCACACATTCAACGTAACATTTGGACTCACGCATATCCAGTGACATCTTTTAACAGTAATTTTAACAATTTTGGTTTGAGAAAAGATTGTTAAGTATAAAAGTTGGTTGCATAGATGATTTACTTAACAAAGCTAATATTATGACTAGGTTTTATATAAATGCGGGAAGTTGTTTGAAGGTAGTAATTTCCAGAAGAATGTTGGAAATTTATCTAAAATTAAAGAAAATATAAAGCAACTGAAAACAATTGGACAGTAGAAGAGCCAAAAATTCAGAAAGAAGTTAGAGAGTAAGAAAGAAAAAAAAAAGATACACAACAGCTATAGAATGTAAGAAACGGAAAGTTGAGGACATGGAATGAAGACAGGGAAATTTGGATGAAAAATTTTACAAAGAGAGTTGGAATTAACTGAGCAAGGAAGCATAAAGAGAAGGGGTGGTAATTATAAAAAAAATAGAGAGGGAATGGAAAAGAAAAGCGGGGAGGACAAATGGGGTTTAAAATTGCTTGTTTGAAATATTGCATTATTAAGAAAAATAAACAGAATTTATTTAATGAGTACATAAAATTTTGATTTTGTGTGATTAACAGAAACATGGATACTAAAGAGTAAGGGGAATAAATTGAACAAGGAAAAAGGAAAAGTTGAGGGTGAAGCAAGTGGGGGATCCATAACAGGGGTGACAAAAGATATAAAACAAATCGAAGAGCGGGTAATAGAAGTGGAACGCATAGTGGAAAGAAAGATAAAAGAAAAAAAGTATTTGCATATTGTATTGCATTGGAATTACAAAAAATTTGAAGAAAAAAATTTAACAAAAAATTGAAGAGTCTAACGAAGAATTTCTTCTGATAGGAAATGGTTTTAACGCCAAAATAGGCAACAAAAGCAGGGAATATAGCGGAGAACGCACAGAAAAATCTAAAGATAAAATTTTAAATAAAGACAGAAAATTTCTATGGAAATTAATTGAAGAAAGAGTTTGGTAGTCTTGAATGGGGTGAAGGAGGGGGATGAAGATAAAGAATTTACCTGTATATGTAACCCAGTAGCTGATGAAGAAGCCGAAACATTTAAATTAGGAGAAAGAATTGATTCCGACCACATGCTATAAGAAGTAGAAAAGTCGGAGTCACAAATAAGGAAGTAGATAAAAAGGAGAAGGGAACTGAGCATTATAAAAGATGTTGGAAATTGAATTCAAAAGAAGTAAGCTAAAATAAAATAGAAGAATTAAAAATAACAACTGAAAAAGCAGCAATAAGAAAAGCATTTATAACGAAGAAATCAGAAAAGAGAAACAAATGGCGGGTTAATAGATGCAGAGATTTAAAAACATAAGAAAGAAAATGTTTACGAAGGTGTAAAAAGGGAAAGATAAAAAAGAAGAGTACTGTCCAGCAAGAAATAATAACAGGTCGGTGTGAATAAAAAAAAGAAGAGATTCCGAAAGAAGAAATAAAATAAAAGCCATAAAATCAGAGCAAGAACCAAAATAAGGAAAAACAAAAACATGATCAGTGAAGAAATGCTAATAATACAATGGAAGTACCATTTCATGAAACTAATGAGTGGAAATGAGAGTACTGTAGCGCAAAAGAGTTAAACCGCGAATGCTGAGAGAGAAAGAATGGCCGAACATTACAGTGGAAAAAATATGGAAACAAGTTGGAGGGTCGAAAAGAGGGAAAAGACCAGGGAGGAATGGATTGGTAAATGATGTATGGACGTTTAGAACGGATGATTTGATTGAAAGACTGTGTGAAATAATGAATGAGATGTGGAAAAGTAAAGGTCTCCTCGAAAGTGGCAACAAGGACAAATATGTCCAATGGCGAGTATAAAGGAACCTAGGTACAATGGGGGTTATACTCGTCTAAAGATAATATCAGAAACAACGCCAAGGTACCTAGAGAGAGAAAGAACGAAGGAGAAAAAGTAATTGCTAGACAGAGGGGTGGACATGAAGAAAGAAACAATAACTTTTGCTTAAGCGAAAGCAGAAGAATATATAGGATGTGTGGAGAAGTGCAAGAGACTTTAGAATACATGCTACAAGACTAGAGCGAAATTAAAGAAAAAAGGAAAGTATAACAGAAATATTGAATGAAGATGGAAGAGAAGCAGGGTGGATGAAAGGAGTGGAAAAGAGCGGAGTAAGGCTGGAGCAAAGGCGATGCGATAAAAGAAGTAAATTGTAAAATCCTTGATTGTTGACCATTATTATTGCTATATCACACCAAAATAGTATAAATAAAAATAAATAATTGGCAGAGTGGTGAACTATCTAGCCTAAAATTATTTTCATCTTTTGTACAATTCGGCCTCACAGAATCGTAGAAAACAACTTTCAAACTTACAACCCAAGCTAAAATTAACTTAATAGCAGTTATTTTAATAACAAATAAGAGAAATAAACCTACAAGAAAAAGTCATAATTGTGTTATTAATTATGAAGTAACTATTAAAAAAATCTAAAGATTGTGATGCCAAAAGTTACTTTAAATCAAATAATGGCTTTCATCCATAGAAACTTTTGGCCTCATAATTACATGACGAATAACTTTCGGACTCATGTGCTAACATACATTAAAGTACAAGGTACATGAATAAATCTAAAATCGGAAACCCAAAATTTGGTCAAATCGAGGCAGTAAAATTCATGTGAATCAATATTCGGTGCTATATATTTAGGCACACCCCCAAGTGTAAAGATTCAGATTTTTTCCATAAAACGAAACATTTTCTATAAGGTTAAGACAAAATTACGACTGTGAATGGTAGAAGTATCTGTAGACGCATTCATAAAAATATTTTTTATTCAAAGTTAAAGTGATAATTTAAATTTTTTAAATACTTGCTACTTAGCCAAATATAAAGGACGACAGGTCCAAAGTTGCTATAAATGAGCTAATTATTTTGATATGTTTGTTTCCATATTAGCGTGGGTATAAATTTGGGTTAGGTAGTTCAGCAATCAAACAATTATTTATTTTTATTTATACTATTTTGGTGATACCAGTTTCAGGGTTCATCCTCTTCCTCAGCCACCTCGTCAGTAAACCTATGACAGTTTAAAAAAGTCAATATTTGGTTAAATTTTTAGACTTATTAGTGTTAATATTATCAGGAATTTGATCTGCCGTTTTTTGAGCCTAAAATACTTGATTGTTGACCATTATTCTTGCTATACCACACGAAAATAGTATAAATAAAAATAAATAATTGGCAGAGTGTTGAACTATCTAACCTAAAATTATTTTCATCTTTTGTAGACTTTGGCCTCACAGAATCGTAGAAAACAACTTTCAAACTTACAACCCAAGCTAAAATTAACTTAATAGCAGTTATTTTAATAACAAATAAGAGAAATAAACCTACAAGAAAAAGTCATAATTGTGTTATTAATTATGAAGTAACTATTAAAAAAATCTAAAGATTGTGATGCCAAAAGTTACTTTAAATCAAATAATGGCTTTCATCCATAGAAACTTTTGGCCTCATAATTACATGACGAATAACTTTCGGACTCATGTGCTAACATACATTAAAGTACAAGGTACATGAATAAATCTAAAATCGGAAACCCAAAATTTGGTCAAATCGAGGCAGTAAAATTCATGTGAATCAATATTCGGTGCTATATATTCAGGCACACCCCCAAGTGTAAATATTCAGATTTTTTCCATAATACGAAATATTTTGTATGAAGTTAAAACAAAATTAGACTGTGAATGGTAGAAGTATCTGTAGACGCA